GACAAAAATATTTTATTCCAAACAAAAAAATTTTTTTAATAACCCGTTTAAATCATCCAAATGTATATGCAGCATAAGTTTTAATGCCATTGTCTTTCCAAATAATTTTAAGTTTCGTAAAACAGGCTTAAAGTGACTAAAATGACCAATGGTTATTAGGAAAGATATAATGTACCATACTTTTTTATATATTCGACGTAACTTTTTTTTAAAAATAATTAGTATTTCGATAACTATTGCACAAATAAAAAAATGGTAGACTTTTCGATTCATTTTAGCCCACTCTACTTGCCCACGAGCGCTTTACCATTGAGTACCATCAGACACCTGTCTGTAGTAGGGTTGCAATATCAAAATTTTCAAAACTGGAACTTACAAGCTAAAAACCCCGGACATTTCGTGTGCAACCCCGGACGCATAAAAAAAAGATGTGTAGTAGGTTAACGGCTCGTTTCTGAATAATTACGCGGAAGGAGTCAAAATATTTAGAAGATTCCCTGAAAATCCCAAAATCCCTCCCACATAGACGACCCCGGACGCCCTAAAAAAGAAGACACTGTCCGGGGAAAAGAGAACGGATGGCAACTCTACCCTGTATATATGTTATATATTGTATATACATGTCAACTCACTTTTCACGCAGGCTACTAGATTGGGAAGCAGTTGATGTAGATCTACCTCTGTATCGATGACGCGCGGGAGACTCACTACCACTTTTGCTTCGACTATGACGCGAGGATTTTTCCTCGGCATATTTTAAAGCTTGTGCACGTTTCCTTTCATATTCTTCAATCTTTCGCTGTTTTAATTTTTCATGTTGTATCTCTCGGTCTTGCTGGCGTTGCCATTGTCGTTTACGCCTCTGCTTCTCTTCTTCGGTTCTTGAACGTAAAACTGAATAAGTATTGTGATCTTCATTACGTGTTAATCTTGACTCCTCATCGCCCCGGAAAGTTGTCGATTGCATTGGATTTGTTGCTGGAAATACAAAGTAAACAGTACTAATTATACCAATCAAGGTATGGCCAGAGTATGGCACTGACAAAATTAGCAGAAATTAAGCCCATGGCATAAAGAAAAACGTAAGGCTGCGTTCCCACTGAGCGCGTCACGCGTCGCGTCGTCCGTCGCGTCACGATTAATTGACCAAAATATTCCATTTTATTGCATGATTTGCCGCGCAATTTCTTGCAAGACTCATCAATTAGATTATTCGACATTCTAGAGATAAATGAATTTTTCTTGGTATGAAATCTCGAATTGCACGGCAAGTTACGCAATAAAATGGGATGTTTTGATTGGTCAATTCGGATGACGCGCGCGTGACGCGCTCAGTGGGAACGCAGCCTAAAGCAGTAAGACGTAAGCAGTAAGTAAATTGGCCAATCACAGTAGAAAACCTTAAGGCAATAATCTTACGTTCTCTACTGTGAATAGCCAATTCATTTATTGCTTACGTCTTGGGCTGGATCCTTATGCAGACACCGACGTTTTAGCACCAGCGCTCAAGCGCTTTTTCAAATGTTGAGCAATGGCAATGGCCAATAAAAGCTGTCCAATTGAGAACAATCGAAGCGATAGTTTTTGTCCAATGCGTAATTGCAAAAATCCACTCACAAGAGAGAGAGAGAGAGAAAGAGGTATATGATTTAATAGAGAGAGATATATGATTTCCTTCACCGACGAGATATTCTTAAAAACCGACAGCCCTGGGCAAATTTTTGTGCCAGAAAATGGACCCGGTGGGCCCGGTGGTAATTGCAGAGTGTCGATGTTATCGACTTTTGACGTAAATTTGCGATTTATTTGAATAATACATTATTAAGATTATGATTTTTATTATATAAATGCTTTATAAATAAGTATGAATACTTATAATGTTATAATATCATATATTGCCGCAAAAATACATTTTTTTCCAACTGTTTTACCATCTCTTTGGATAATCAAACGCGGGTGGTAACTATAAAAATGCAGTAGTTAATTTTAAATAGTTAATTTTAAATAAAATTAACTA